ATGCTCTTTCTGGAGGGGAAGGGGACTAATCTCTACGGACGACAACGAATGTTTGGTTCAATCGGTTGGGGTCTGGCCATGTTCTTTGTCGGCATTGCCCTGGATCAGGCACAGAGCTTTCCCGATCACCCCTGCATGCGTCCTGGTCACCGTGAAAGGAATTACATGGTCTGTTTTGCTGTTTTTACGGTCTTCATGTCGTGTGCACTGTTGGTGGCGACACAATTCCACTTTCCTTATGATGGGGCAGAGGAGAGTATGTATTTCAAGGTGGTGAAGGACAAAGTTGCAAAAACGCTCCTACGCAGAACGACAAAGAGTCGTGGAAAGCTAGTAAATGTGGACGACGGAGGGGAGGAATGGCGTGGCGATGGCCAGGGCTACACGGCCCTTGGGACTGAGCAGAGTGGAACGACTGCAGCGACCACAACTAATGAGGATATCCTCGAGCAACAATTGGGAATAAGACTAGACAGAGCTGAGATCCATTCTTCGCAGATGACCGGACTGCCGGAATCCGACCCCTTCGTGGAGGATCTGGCAGCGACTGCTCAGACTAAGGTAAGTAAAAACGAAGCTTTTCTTCAAATTCATTTGCCTCCCCCTCATTCACGCATATGAACGACCATATTTTCACTTTTTGCATATGTTGTTGTCCTGCGGTTTTTTCTTTGGACAACCGGATCCACTGAATTTTGAGAATTAGATTGTATTATGATATTCGAAAATGAGTATTATGTTCAAGAAATATCTGAAATTGAATCGGCATTTACCAGAGGACAATATTTTATTATCTTTCATACGGCTATTTTGTTTCACAAGGATGACGTTACTATACATAGTTTTGCTTTTTCATCCGGCATCTTTTGAAAACTAAAGTCATTTGGAGTGTGGAGCGATACTACGCAGTCTAAATGTAACCGAATTCTACATCGGATTGATTTCTGTCCAGGTATACGAGACACGCTGTCCAAAATGTCCTTTACGCAAATGACCTTGGAGCATCCGTCATCCAAGTGCATAGAATATTTAATAAACAATAAACATCAATTGGTCTATGTCATAGAACAACCTCTTAATGCAAAATGACTAAGCCAAATAAGACGTACAGAAGTTAACATGGAAGATTTTAGCAAAATCAACTTAACTCGCAAAAGAAGTAGAGAAAAGTCGCCACATCACGGTAGGCAAGCCTTATAGAATAGATACCATACCCTATTTTTTAAATCGTTTGATGTGGCTATAAATAAATACAGGATTCCGTTTTTATCGACCGTAATTTGAATGCAATTCGATGAGCCCTTGTTTTTAAGCGTCGAGCATCGAGTTCGACGATTTCCAATGTGTGCCTCACAGCATGATGAGGTGGGGACCGTGAGTTGCGTGCGAATTAGTTTTAAGTGATGGTAGACTTGTGTTGCGTCCACCGCACTTTATCTTCCGTCAACTACCAGTGCTCGGTGTAAAGACAGGGCCTAGTAGACCGGAGGCGGGTTCGGGCGCGGGCGGTTGGCGCGGCGTTCGTCTGCCTCTGCCCGTGCTACCACACCCCCCGTCTTGGGAATTTGTTATGATAGTGCAGCTCGGATAACGCCTGCCATGCCCTGGTCTAGCTCTCGTGTTAGTCCAGCGCATCTACCACATGGCCCGTTTAGGGATCATTGTGCTCGTAGTAGTGCATAGGCGAAAGACGCAGCATTCAAGTTATCACACCTACTTATACCTACTAAAGACACACATATTTCGCCTTTCCCGCATGGAATTTCTAGATTTACGCAGTCTTTGAAGTGTAACAGTTGCTGCTTTCGGAATACTGATGGCTCCCTTTCTGGAATTAGTAAACTGTGCTTGTTTTTTTTTTCAAAATCGACTATAATTACCCTCCCGCCTTTTTAAGTAGCGTCGTCCTCATATTTATTTAGCGGCCAGTAATTTGAGACTTTTCGGAAGCAATATGACCGGTCAATTGCGCTATCAGTGTTGCCCCTAAAATAACAAAATACTCCTCACTGTATATTTGACTGTTTTAACGAGGTATGAAGAAGAAGAATGCTATATTGAGGATTTTACAAACCTGAATTTTCA